GAGCCCAAGAAAACAGACCCACTATAGGCTGAGTGACGGAGCAGGGGAAGCATGGTGACCCAGAACAGCATGGAGGAGTGGGGGTGCTGTCCCGAGATGGACAAGAGAGCACGCAGCAGAAACGGGATTGCACCAGCATCTCTTCCAGACTCACCCTTGAGTATACAGAAGGGGACAAGGGGATTCCAAACCACCCTGCTTAGAGAAGAGGAAGAGTGCATAGTGGTCCCATGAAGCAAAAGTCGAGCACATTCCAGGGGACGCATGAGAACACATAAATGTGCAGAGCATGAGGCCGAGAGTCATGGACACCTGATTTTCCTTGTTTGGCTGCCCAGCAGCCAATCCCTGCCCTCTGTCTGTAGCACATCCCCCTTGTGCTCTCCAGTAGAAAACAGAGCCGCCTTCTCACTACAGATCCTGAAAAATCAAAATAACTTTCTCCCCCAGGCTCCCTTGCAACTCAGTAAAGGCAAGGGGCCTAGACTCCCACATGCTCTGAGTCATGCCTAAGTACAACACAACAAAAAGGGTTTCCAGGGGTGAAGACATCCAGTGCCCTGGGCCAGGAGCAGAGCTGGTCCGAGCAGAGATGCCCAGTGTTCAGTGATGGCAAAAACCAGTTGAAGGGGCTTCACCAGGCCGTAGTTTGGAATGTAAGGTGGGGTTGTGGTCCTAGCTAAAACCCAGTCTCTTGTTCAAGCCTGCTTTTCAAACTTGGTTCTGAAGGGTCTTGATCTGTCTAACCTCTGTATAGTAAGTCTCTCTAACCTTCACATAAGCAGAAGTAGTAGCTCTTGATTGCCCTGATGAATTCTGGGTGACATACCAAGTAAAAGCCATATCACAAGTCCCTCTGCCTCAATCCCAGATATATGCCCAGGGGCAGCCCTGACACCTACCATTCACTCCAGCCCTGGAGTTGCCAGCCCAGCTTCTCAGAGGCCCTGAAGCATTGACTTGGGGCATTAATGCAAGGAACGTGCTCTTCTGCTCAAGTCACATGGGGTAAGATAAAAATCTCCCTCAGGTGGGGAACAAAATGAACTCTCCAGTTCACGTCAAAAGTTTAAAGATATTGCATATTTTGGATCTTCTGTTTCCATGGGCTTTCTCTTAATAAAAGAATTCTTCTGTACAGTGACTTTGTCCAGAATCTGGATTAACAGGGAGAACTTTTAAAAGTTAGAATGTATTCCTGGCACACGGCACCTTAGAGTGAATAAATGAGGACTTGGCTTGCTAATTCAGAAGGGTTGCCAACCCCTGAGTTAGGAAAATGCCAAAAACTTCTGGCTGTTGAACAGAAAGAAGGTTCAGCAGAAAGGGCCTGGCTCCAATCCAGCCTGCTCCCCAGCACCAGGCCTACTCCCCCATCTTAGTCAACACAGAGGTCCAGGTGAAGGCACTCTTCAGCCTCAGGTTTACTCCTTGGGAAAGGAACCAAACAGCATCTTATCCCCACTGCATGGAAAGGGGACTAATGAAAACAGCAGGATTTGTTTTGAGATAACTGCACAAACTTAAGGTATAGTCACAGAATTCTGAAGCTGGAGATGGTGGTGTGTAGGTAAATACTTAAAAAACAGCTCTCCAAAAAAAGTGAATCTATGTGTATGTGTATACACACACACACACACACACACACACACACAAGGCTATTGTAAATTTTACTGATATACAACACATATATTTATAATACATGATTTACAGATAGTAATGAAATACATAATTATCTTTACTACAGATCCTATACAGTTGATTTTTCCTACCAGGATGCTCTTGAATCTGTAGTCAAACCATGGTTACATTTGAACCATGATCTGACAAATGGAGTTGCATTTCAGTCTGCTCTTTTCGCAATAAATGTATTGTCATTACATATAACATCCACTGATAAATTTACTCTCATACAAATTGTGTTCTTTGAACTAAATCCTCTTCACCTTCACCTCTAGTCATTTCAGACTTTAAAGTTTAATTTGCATTATTAATATTTTCTCCTTGACTTTCTTAAATCTAGACAAGCAATAAAACAATAAACCATGCGCTGATTTATAGCACTTGCCAGTTTCCATGGTGTACATATGCCTGATGTGGACAATTTCAAGCTACCAACATGATACCACCAACCCAATAGAGGAGAAACACAGTGCACTATTCCATAGTATTTCCACTGTAGTGATATAATAAAATGAAATTCGTATTTGATAGCAAGACAAGAAGAAGTTAAACATAAAAGTTTTCTTTGCCTGTTTGGGCCTCCTCCTTCCTCTTTACTGTGGGTTGTACATTTGCATTAACCAGACCACCCTAGGAGACAACATTCTTTCTTAATCTCATAAAGCCTCACAACTCCTCAAAAGATAACCTTCCTTCTAAATCTTGTGAAGAGTCATAATGACCCTTGACTCACTACTTGCTTTGTCTCGTAAATCTGGACTGTGCAAACTGTCAATAATCTGTCATTTAATATACCTAGGGCACTCTGTCTCAAAAAGTTATCGAACTGTGTTTTAGCCTTTTAGCAAGTGAAACTGTTCTGAGTTCTCTGAGAGGCTGTTCCCAGGTTATAATCCTGTTTGGCTCAAACAAAATTTTCCATTTCTTTGTTAGATAGATAAACTGTTGATTAATTTTTTGTTGACAGATACAATCATCTTAAAAAACTCAAAAGCACAAATAAAATGTGTGTAATAATTAGGCAGTGATGTGTTTTGAGTATCACCTTTGTTTTTAATACACTTACTTATACACATAATTTTTAATAATGGCTATATTTAATACACAGCCCACAAAATTCCTAAAAACTGAACAGCTAGCTCTCAAATTCTGATATGATCTGATGCCCCTGTCCCCCTCTCACACACACATTACTGGTGGGAGAAGATCTGAGAGGGTCACCTCTAGTTCTCCACATACATAGAATGCATGGAGATGGGAGGTGAGGGTGGTATATGTTAGGATCAGGAAATCCAACTGTCCCACAAACATGTCCCATGCACCCACATGTAGTTCTGGATGTTAAAAAACAAGCCTGAATCCTGGTATGACTGCCCTGGCATGAAACTCTGTGGTTCCTCACTGCCTTTGTAGATCTGACCTATTTTCAGAGCAAAAAAAAAAAGAAAATGCTGATTTACTCTCCAGTTGCCAACTCTGGCTACCACTTGCGCAGACCTCGCTCCACCCCTCCAGACACACCCCAAGGCTTTGACAGCATTTCCCAAAGCTCTGCAGGTCTGGAAAGAATGACACAGCTGGAGATCATTTGGAAGACAATTAAAGCTAATGAGGTGACTCAGCAAAAGCAGCTAAAGAGGCAGGAAATGGCTCTGGCAAGAGGAAAGCTTGCCTGGGTAGCCGAATGAGACCAGTAAGGAAGTAAAATGGAGAAGATCCGACTTAGGAGCAAAAATTAATATTCGCTTAACCAAGCCTTAGCCATAGCTGAATTGGAGGAGGCACTTCTGGCACTTACTGATGTTGTTGCTCAGTCGCTCAGTTGTGTCTGACTCTCTGTGATCCCATGGACTGCAGCATGCCAGGCTTCCCTGTCCTTCACCATCTCCCAGAGTTTGCTCAAACACATGTCCATTGACTCAAGTCCATCATCTGTACTGATGGGAGCAGTGTAAATTGGTTCAGGCTCAGTTTCCCCAATTGCTCAGTGGGTAAAGAATATGCCTATAATGAAGGAGACACAGAAGATGCAAGTTTGATCCCTGGGTCAGGAAGATCCCCTGCAGAAGCAAATGGCTACCCACTCCAATGTTCTTGCTTGGAGAGTTCCATGCCAGAGGTGCTTGGAGGACTACAGTCCATGGGGTCACAAAGAGTCAGACATGACTGAGTGACTTCATTGTTTTAAATGCACATTCCCTTTGACCCAGACATTTGAGGATACTCATTGTAGCATTATTTGTATTAATAATGGCACTTAATTAGAAGCAAACTGAAAGCCTATTAATAGGTGAATTGATACATTTATAAAAGACAATAAACCCAGATGAAGGAACACTATACAACGCCTAAGAAGGCAGCTGTTACCTATTGAAGAACAATCTCAAATCTGTTAAGTAAGAAAAGCAAGGTAAAGAACACAGTACGCTACCATTTGGATGTTTTACATGATACATTTTTGCACTTAAATGTGCATAAAATACCTTTGGAAGCATACACAAAGAAACTGGCCACAACTGCCTCTGAAAAGAAAACTGACAGAGATCAAGTCAGAGAGACTAACTTAGTAACATACCCCTTTAAAATGTTTTAATTTTCTGTTACAGTCTCTCTCTCTTTTTTTTTTTATGGAGAAGAAGGAAAGAATGGCTTTACTACTTTGCCAGGCAAAGGCAGAACATAGTTGGCTAGCACCTTGAGAACTGTGCCCTCATCCCTGATGAACAAGGAGAGGTCAGACTCATTTTTTAATAAAAAAAATTAAGTATGTGGCTATTTTTTAAATGGCAACAAAAATTACACTTCCATGATTATTAACCACAGTCCTGAGCCTGCTCAAGCAGTTCTTTAGTAAAATTTTAAAGGTGTTTCTCCACTCCAGTTTGCCTGGGACTGTCCAGATTTTAGCACTGAAAGTCCCAAGTCCTGGGAAACCCTTCAGTCCGGGCAAACTGGGAGGGCTGGACAGGCTCTTCACTTCTCCAGACTGACGGGTGCCCTCAGGCTAGCCCATTACACATCCATCCACAGGCTCCTTCTCCCTGTTTCCCAAACCCAGCCAGAAGACAGAAAGAAGGATGCTCCAGCTATAGGTTAAGCAGGTCAGCCTCCTGGGCACTGGGGGAAAGGATGGGGAGGGGTCCTGGAGGGACCTAGCCTCTTACAGATGCCTCACTCCATGGCCTGGGAACAAGAGGCAGGGAGTGTGATCCCAGGCTCTAACCTCAGCTCTGCACTGAGTTAACTTCAGTCAGTCCTTTTACTTTCTTTGGCCTTAGTTGTCTCAACTGTAAACAAAAGGGGGATGTGGGTGCCCATCACGGGCCCAAGGGCACATCCCCTCCCCTCAGACCCTTGAGCACAGGGCCACTGCCCATCAAGGAGAAAGGTGAAGGATCCCGGGCACGCTTGGCGCTCTCCGAGGCAACAGCCAGAAGCCTCTTGGCTCTAGTTCAGAGACATTTCACAGGTAAGGAACCAGAAGCTTCTACCCAGAAAGCTCCTACTGAGGACCCAGCTGAAAGCTTCCTTCTCTTAAAGCAGCATTTCTCAACATAGGGAATGAGTTCAAAATGTCAATCCAGGGCCCCACAACAGAGATTCTGATTCGGTAAGTCTTGTAGGAATTCAAGGTAGGTCCCCTGCCCCCCTCACCCACCCCCATCTCCAGCACCACACTTTGAAAACCCACTGTTTTAAAAAACAAGGCCACATCAGACTGTAAGCATTTTAAAGTTCATTACCTCTTCAATGGAAACAAGCCATTACTCTCTAACGGTTATCTTTCAAAAACAACAAGAGTTTGGAGGTGTGCACTGCAGTCTGGAATGACGCACGAAATAGTAAGATTGCATTTCAAAACATGACCCAACGTCAGCCTCATCAGCCAGGTGTTAGACTCAATCACAAGCCTCAAAACACATAATCAAGTATCAGTAAGCAGGTGTTTGAAGGGAAGATTGAGATAAACAGTTGCCTTTGTGGTTATTTAAGAGATTTTGAAACATTAAAATGGAGTACCTCACAAGCTCAAGCTAGCAAACTTCAGGGGCTTCATGGCTGAATACATCCAGGCAGTAATTAGCACCGGAGAGTTTAACAGGATTGCAATCAAAAAGCTTTGATCCTTATTGAGGAAATCTGTGTCCTTTCCTTTATTTCCACTGTCTTTAAAGAGTTGCCCTTATGAGTGGCAACACTTTGAAGAATCCCTAGAACACACTTCACTGTGTTCAGTTTGAAGATTCTGATTTCTTTAGAGAAAATCACATGCTGATCATGTTCACACACTCAGTGCAATAGTGTCAGGGACCCACCCCTCTGTCTCCCCAGGGTGACAAGTCTGGAATAAGGAGTTCCAAAGAAAAAGCAAAGTTCCACCTTAGGTATTAATTTTTGGTTTCATACCCTTTTCAAATGGCTTCTTGGTGGCCTAATTGCCCCATGAAAATCCCTGAAAGTTCTGGGGACAACTTAGAGTGGATACTCTCAGGGCTTCCCTGGCAGCTCAGACTGTAAAGAAACCACCTGCAATACAGGAGACCTGGGTTCGATCCCTGGGTTGGGCAGATCCCCTGGTGGAGGTAACAGCTACCCACTCCAGTATTCTGGCCTGGAGAATTCCCATGGACTTTGTAGTCCATGGGGTCATAAAGAGTTGGACACGGCTGAGCTCTATGCTCAGTTGAATCCCCCCAACTTCGAAGACCCATTATTAAAAAGACTAGCCCATCACTTAGGCTTCATAGCACTTGCCCACGTGATTTATTTAAGGATGTGCTGCCAAAGGCTCCCTACTTAAAATTTTAGCTTGTTAATCTCTATTAATTCCCCTTAATTGTAAGTAGCCATTTAGCTTTGAGAAAATACTTTATGCTTCACTTTCTATTTCTCATCTCCTCTTCCTCTGGCCTTGGGGAAACATTAGTTTCGGTCCTTATAATTGTATCTCCTACAGTTAAAGGTGCTGTTAGAGCATTTGGTCATTTGTGATACCAACTTAATAATAAAGCCCCAAGGACCTTTACCATCCAATAGAGATAAAGGTGTTTGAGACAGGAGAAAATTTCACTGCCAATCATGGATATCAGCATACTCCTCTGAAACAAAATTAAGAGAGTCTACCAAGTTTGAACAATCCAGTGTACTAAGCCTGAAAAAGCCTGAAGAGCTTCATCTGTTCCCTGCTGCAGTCAGTCATTGTGGACCACACCATGACTGCTCTTTCATGCCACCTTCCTCTTTTGAGCTAGAGGACTCCAGGGGTGTGGGTTAGTGAATAGTTGGGGCTTTTGTGACTCAGGACATTCAAACCTAAACTCTGAGTCTATTTGCAAAGATAAAAGTTCCTCTCTAATCCAGGGAGGCTTGCTATCTTTGGGCTTTTCTGGTCTTCCTTCATCATGTTATACATCATACTTCCTTTGGTGTTTGTACTCTCTAATCTGTCCTCTCTTCTGGGAAAGCCATAGAGACAGCCCAGCCAGGAGGCATTAACCTTGACTTCTTGTGAGTGTGTATGCGTTAGTCACTCAGTCATGTCCGACTCTTTGTGACCCTAAGGACTGTGGCCCGCCAGGCTCCTCCGTCTGTGGGATTCTCCAGGCAAGAACACTGGAGTAGGAGCCATTTCCTCCTCCATGACTTCTCCTTACGCAGGAGGAATTTAGCAGCCCTTTCAGCAGCCCACACTGTAGTAGGGGGTTTCACAACTTCACGTGGGACTGGAAATTCCCGAGGAATTCCATCATACAAGTTATTCAGGCTGATTCTGTCATTTTTTCCCTTCACTATGCTTCTGGCTCAGATCATGAAGTGCTTATTGCCAAATTCAGACTTAAATTGACGAAAGTAGGGAAAACCACTAGACCATTCGGGTATGATCTAAATCAAACCCCTTATGATTGTACAGTGGAAGTGACAAATAGATTCAAGGGATTAGATCTGATAGAGTGCCTGATGAACTATGGATGGAGGCTCATGACATTGTACAGGAGACAGGGATCAAGACCATCCCCAAGAAAAAGAAATGTGAAAAAGCAAAATGGCTGTCTGAGGAGGCCTCACATATAGCTGTGAAAAGAAGAGAAGTGAAAAGCAAAGGAGAAAAGGAGAGATATACCAATTTGAATGCAGAGTTCCAAAGAATAGCAAGAAGAGGTAAGAAAGCCTTACTCAGTTATCAGTTGAAAGAAATAGAGAAAAACAATAGAATGAGAAAGATGAGAGATCTCTTCAAGAAAATTAGAGATACCAAGGGAACATTTCATGCAAAGATGAGCTCAATAAAGGATAGAAATGGTATGGACCTAACAGAAGCAGAAGATATTAAGAAGAAGTGGCAAGAAAACACAGAACTATACAAAAAAGATCTTCACAACCCAGATAATCATGATGGTGTGATCACTCACACTCACCTAGAGCCAGACATCCTGGAGTGTGAAGTCAAGTGGGCCTTAGGAAGCATCACTATGAACAAAGCTAGTGGAGGTGATGGAATTCCAGTTGAGCTATTCCAAATCCTAAAAGATGATGCTGTTAAAGTGCTGCAGTCAATATGTCAGCAAATTTAGAAAACTCAGCAGTGTCCACAGGACTGGAAAAGGTCAGTTTTCATTCCAATCCTAAAGAAAGGCAATGCCAAGGGATGCTCAAACTACTGTACAATTGCACTCATCTCACATGCTAGTAAAGTAATGCTCAAAATTCTCCAAGCCATGCTTCAACAGTACATGAACCGTGAACTTCCAGATGTTCAAGCTGGATTTAGAAAAGGCAGAGGAACCAGAGATCAGATTGTCAACACCTGTTGGATCATTGAAACAGCAAGAGAGTTCCAGAAAAACATCTATTTCTGCTTTATTGACTATGCCAAAGCCTTTAACTGTGTGGATCACCACAAACTATGGAAAATCCTGAAAGAGATGGGAATACCAGACCACCTGACCTGCCTCCTGAGAAATCTGTATGCAGGTCTGGAAGCAACAGTTAGAACTGGACATGGAACAACAGACTGGTTCCAAATTGGGAAAGGACTATGTCAAAGTTGCATATTGTCACCCTGCTTATTTAATTTACATGCAGAGTACATCATGAGAAATGATGGGCTGGATAAAGCACAAGCTGGAATCAAGATTGCCCAGACAAATATCAATAATCTCAGATATGCAGATGACGCCACTCTTATGGCAGAAAGTGAAGAAGAACTAAAGAGCCTCTTGATAAAAATGAAAGAGGAGAGTGAAAAAGTTGGTTTAAAGGTCAACATTCAGAAAACTAAGATCATGGCATTTGGTCCCATCACTTCATAGGAAATAGAAGGGGAACAGTGGAAACAGTGACAGACTCTATTTTGGGGGGCTCCAAAATCACTGCAGATGGTGACTGCAGCCATGAAATTAAAAGATGTTTACTCCTTAGAAGAAAAGTTATGACCAACCTAGACAGCATATTAAAAAGTAGAGACATTACTTTGCCAACAAAGATCCATCTAGTCAAGGATATGGTTTTTCCAATAGTAATGTATGGATGTGAGAGTTGGTTTATAAAGAAAGCTGAGTGCCGAAAAATTGATGCTTTTGAACTGTGCTGTTGGAGAAGACTCTTGAGAGTCCCTTGGACTGCAAGGAGATCCAACCAGTCCATCCTAAAGGAAATTGGTCCTGAATATTCATTGGAAGGACTGATGTTGAAGCTGAAACTCCAATTCTTTGGCCAACTGATGAGAAGAACTGACTCATTGGAAAAGACCCTGATGCTGGGAAAGATTGAAGGCAGGAGGCAAAGGGGACGACAGATGATGAGATGGTTAGATGGCATCGGCGACTCAACGGACATGAGTTTGAGTAAACTCTGGGAGTTGGTGATGGACAGGGAGGCCTGGCGTGCTGCAGTCCATGGGGTCACAAAGAGTCAGACGTGACTGAGCGACTGAACTGAACTGAACTGATGTTTCTATAAATCTCTGCTCTCCTGCTTCATGGAGAAAATAGAAGTCATCACAGGGAAGTTCTATCAACTCCTTGCCTGCCTCCATTAATTTAAGACTTGCCTTCTCCCTTCTCTTCTCTCACATGGGAAAGAGACCCTCTTCCCCCTAGACCAATACCCCACCAAAGTCATGAACCCCAATTCCATTGGCCCCTCTTCTGCATCTTCAGCTTCTCCATCTGTATTAGCTGTGGCTCATCATCATTTGTATATAACAAAATGTTATTTTAGAAGTTGGGGCTGTGGGACTTCCATGGTGGTCCAGGGGTTGAGATTTGGTGATTCCAGTGCACGGGGCAAAAGTTCAATCCCTGGTCAGGGAACTGAGATCCCACATGTTCAGTTCAGGTCAATTCAGTCGCTCAGTCATGTCCAACTCTTTGCGACCCATGAGCTGCAGCACGCCAGGCCTCCCTGTCCATCACCGACTCCCAGAGTCCATCCAAACTCATGTCCAT